GAATTTACAGAAGCTGGTTGGATACCAAATAGCACAAGGCCATCTTCTCGTTCTCTAACCAGTATTGTAATTTACACACTTCCGATCTAATGCATTACCCCCCGCCTTCATAGTGTTATAAAAATAATATAGGATCTTATCAGGTTTCTTTGATTCCTCTACTATTTTGTTATCATGCTGCATAGATTGCTATACGAGAACATGTGTATTTGGTTTTGGAAGATACTACTCTAAGGCTGTACAACATAAACTTAGAAGTACCTGGCTGTGTTTCCTTCTTATTTGGAACTACATGTTGGGGTACTTGTTACTTATTTTTACGCTTCCTGCCGACATAGGTCAGTTGGTTGATGCGCAATTCTACATGTAATTCTACTGACGTGAACCAGTCATCTGCTGTGATATTTCTGTTCGTATAGACGAAAGCATTGAGCAGGTAGTGGTGAGTCTTTGCATCATCAGTCCATACTTATTCGGTTTAGTTTTTCTTGTAGGCACAGGAAGGACATCGGCCCACGAGCATCTCGTATTTTGTAGGTGGACTCACCCGAAATATAACAATTTCGACAGTTCTCTATGAGTGTCTCGAAAATTTCACGTATTTGGAGAAATTTATCGGCATTTCTCGAGTCACAGGGTTATTATTTTCCAAATTGGTTGCCACGGACTTTAGTTCAGGTAAATGCGTAATAATCGACCAGTTGCAGGCGCTCGTTTTGACCAATTGTACATGTTTTTTCCATAGGCATAGCGAGGTCGCCCATAGGAAGTTGTTCAGGTTGATCGATAGCAGCGTCGTCCTCGGCGTAGTCTATAGTGTATTGTTCATCCGTCAACAACGAAAAAATCCATTGTGAAGGAAGTTCAAATCGTACACGCAACTGACATCCTCGGATCAAATTTGACCGCAAAGTCAACAAACCAACAATTGTGATGTTTAAATTAAACTGTGGTTTGAGGTAACGTGCTCATACCGTATGAGAAGTCACGGGACCCCCACCACATAACGGAGAAAGCTCGAATCATCCGACGATATCATTAAAGGATTAATTTCTATATTCTTGAACGAATCTATAAATCAAAGTGGCTGGGTTTCAATTTACATAGCTCTTTGTATGGTCTTGTTTGCTGATCAACATTATATGATTTCTAGACATGTTCAATCTGTGCAGCTTCTTCACTTTCATATTAATGTCAATAAGAGCATTTCATCCATTTTTGAATAAATGTGGTTCATCACAAATTGTAGAAATACTCGAGCATTGACTATAAAATGGAATGGACTTGATCCGTGAGTATTCTCCGAGCAAATCGTCTCAAGTGCGTTTTTTGATCGTTGCGCCCTGATTAGAAATAGTGCCAACAACGCACAAACCAAGTCGCTGCTAGTTTTGATCACATGAACAATAATCGTTTTCAGATCTGGGATTCTTGTATCTTTTACTAGATAATAAGCCACAACCTGCTTAATTTTTACGAATCCCTCTTATCATGGAAGTAAGGGCATGATTTCTGATAAATCACTTTTTCAGAGTTCTAGTTGATTTTGTTACCTCAGAATTCAAGATTTATTAGCTGAAAATTGTACACTGTGAGCACTGGGATCAGCCCTAAACTTTGTCCAAACCCTGCAATAATCGTAAACACTAAACAAGGGTAGACATATTTCTAGTTTAACTGCCTGAAGATTTTCTCTATGGTTTATACGTAACTCTCCACCTATTATCTCATTTTTGTACATGTTCTGGGAGAACTCAACTTGCTCCCTATAAAATGCAACGTCTTCCGCACAGGTGGTTCTGGTTAAGTGCCAGCCTGCTTCGGGTTTGTAATTAGTTGTTGCAATTTTCTGATTTCGTCGTCCTTTTTCATAATCCAGATTTCGTTTTGGCATTCCAGTTCAGCCATTTGATCCTGAAGCTCTTTTATAGTAGAATCATTATGGCATCGTATATCTGAGATTTTAAATGAGTGGTTGACCTCACGTTGGTTACTCTCGTCCATCAGACTCTTTACGTCATTCTCAGTTAGATTCAAGTTCTTTTAGGAAGCCAATTTCATCTTGCAGTTCAGCAATGTGTGACATCGTTACATCAGTTTGTGCAGCAGCACTTAAAGAATGTTGCATATCTTCGTACTCAGCGTCAAGCATAGCTTCTAAGTCTGCAACCTTCTTTTTTGACTCAATATTTTGAGCTTCAAGAGATGGTTTAGGGCTCTCTGATCTTCCTAGGTTCTTCAGTTGAGTACGCAGCATCTCTATTTCTGACTCGTATGTTTTTAGTCTTTTTATTATTTTTTTCCAGAAAATCGAGTCTGTATTGCAAGTCGATGAAATTCTTGCGCTTTTTGAGAATTTTTTTTGAACTCTTTCTATTTCTTCGTTTGTACGCATCCGTTACTTGGCGGAGTTCCTGACTGTAACGATCGATTTAGAATTGGCTTCTGTGAGCTGTTTCTTCAGGTCCAAAATCTCCAGCTGATTATCTAGTTTAGTGAATTCTCTAAGCTCATTGAAAGATTCTTCCAGTTCTTTGAGTTGTCTTTTAAGTACACTTGCACGTCTTCAGCTATCACAGATTCTGCTTCGGCTAGTGCCTCCTCATATGTCTCTTCTTGAATAGGCCTCATTTCACGTCCGGATGATTCTTCTTTGGGTGGATAATTTTTCAATGGCATATACCCTAGGGATGCTTTTTAGGTGATACGTTGCCATAGTGTCCAAAAGTATGACGTCTTAATGTTTTTTTCGGTGTTGATGCCGAGGCTCCCATTTGAAAGCGCCCGACAATAGATACTTCCGTTTTTAGTCTTTCTATCTCGAGCAGATACTCTGTTTGTTTTATCCATCTCTTTTAGCTTAATTGCCTGCTTTTTGAGCCGAGTTTCGAGATCGCGAGTCAAGTTCTGATATCCTTGAAGTGTCTCTTCTGTAGCTGACAAGATGTTTACTTTCGTTTTATTTTGACAGTTTTAGTGCTTTGGGCGAATTCTGGTGTAGATCTAGTCTCCTCCTCGCAGCTAAAGTAACATTCCCGATAATCAATGATTTGGCATTACCGCCAAGAGCCTGTGAGCAGTCTAGTCAATTCGAATCGCGATAACTGATAAACTCCTTCCCCTCGCTTAGTTGCCTTATCACTTTCCTAACTGACAAAGATTTGTTTATGTTAGCCCCCTCTTAAGACGCTCACCAGCAGCTTTCGTCAGAGAAACTCTCTCAGAACCAGCTAAGTCCATTAAGTTAAGGTAGCTTATATGTACAGGTCCATCTTTCTGATTGGCATCTTTCGACTCCAGAATAATCCGGAAAATCGTGTGTGATCGAGATGACCTCTCATTCATGCGAGTAGCTGCAACTCGTCTGATCTTATTGCCCTGCATCATGTTCTCCATAACTTTATCAACATTGTCTACGACAGCTTCCCTTGCATCAAGCAGCACATTTCCTTTGATATCTTCTCTTATAGTTAAACCCTGATTGCTCTTATCCAGGAGGTCATTGATCTTTTCATTGTAGATTTCAATATAACTGCATCTAATCAAGTACCTCTTATCAACCTGGTCTGCCACATGCTGGAATAACTGATTGGATACTAATTGGAAAAGCCCAGGATCTGTTTTATTGCCCAAAATGGTGTGTGTTTTTGCCAGAAGATGTTTGGCCATATGCAAATATTGTGGCATTGAAACCTTCCATGAAGGAATCGACTAAAGGTTTTACTACAGATCCATATACATCTGAATTTGTACATTCCTGCTTAAATACATGGTCGAATATATAAACCTCTCCATGGCGACTACTTTCATCGGCTTCCCATATGCAGTTTACTCTACGTTCCAAAGACGCTCTAGACCATCGGCTACTTCGCGGGATCATTGTCTGATCTTTGTGGCTACTTTAATATTGTCGGAAGTCATTTGGAAGCTTGAACTGAAATTTAATTAGAACTAGGGCTATTTCACGGGTTATAAAGAGGGGCACTTTTCATAATCCAGATTTCGTTTTGGCATTCCAGTTCAGCCATTTGATCCTGAAGCTCTTTTATAGTAGAACATTATGGCATCGTATATCTGAGATTTTAAATGAGTGGTTGACCTCACGTTGGTTACTCTCGTCCATCAGACTCTTTACGTCATTTCTCAGTTTAGATTCAAGTTCTTTTAGGAAGCCAAATTTCATCTTGCAGTTCAGCAATGTGTGACATCGTTACATCAGTTTGTGTAGCAGCACTTAAAGAATCTTGCATATCTTCGTACTCAGCGTCAAGCATAGCTTCTAAGTCTGCAACCTTCTTTTTTGACTCAATATTTTGAGCTTCAAGAGATGGTTTAGGGCTCTCTGATCTTCCTAGGTTCTTCAGTTGAGTACGCAGCATCTCTATTTCTGACTCGTAGTTTTTTAGTCTTTTTATTATTTTTTCCAGAAAATCGAGTCTGTATTGCAAGTCGATGAAATTCTTGCGCTTTTTGAGAATTTTTTTGAACTCTTTCTATTTCTTCGTTGTACGCATCCGTTACTTGGCGGAGTTCCTGACTGGTAACGATCGATTTTAGAATTGGCTTCTGTGAGCTGTTTCTTCAGGTCCAAAATCTCCAGCTGATTATCTAGTTTAGTGAATTCTCTAAGCTCATTGAAAGATTCTTCCAGTTCTTTGCGTTGTCTTTTAAGTACACTTGCACGTCTTCAGCTATCACAGATTCTGCTTCGGCTAGTGCCTCCTCATAGTCTCTTCTTGAATAGGCCTCATTTCACGTCCGGATGATTCTTCTTTGGGTGGATAATTTTTCAATGGCATATACCCTAGGGATGCTTTTTTAGGTGATACGTTGCCATAGTGTCCAAAAGTATGACGTCTTAATGTTTTTTTCGGTGTTGATGCCGAGGCTCCCATTTGAAAGCGCCCGACAATAGATACTTCCGTTTTTAGTCTTTCTATCTCGAGCAGATACTCTTGTTTTGCTTTTATCCATCTCTTTAGCTTAATTGCCTGCTTTTTGAGCCGAGTTTCGAGATCGCGAGTCAAGTTCTGATATCCTTGAAGTGTCTCTTCTGTAGCTGACAAGATGTTTACTTCGTTTTATTTTTGACAGTTTTAGTGCTTTGGGCGAATTCTGGTGTAGATCTAGTCTCCTCCTCTGCAGCTAAAGTAACATTCCCGATAATCAATGATTTGGCATTACCGCCAAGAGCCTGTGAGAGCAGTCTAGTCAATTTCGAATCGCGATAACTGATAAACTCCTTCCCCTCGCTTAGTTGCCTTATCACATTTCCTAATACTGACAAAGATTTGTTTATGTTAGCCCCCTCTTTAAGACGCTCACCAGCAGCTTTCGTCAGAGAAACTCTCTCAGAACCAGCTAAGTCCATTAAGTTAAGGTAGCTATATGTACAGGTCCATCTTTCTGATTGGCATCTTTCGACTCCAGAATAATCCGGAAAATCGTGTGTGATCGAGATGACCTCTCATTCATGCGAGTAGCTGCAAACTCGTCTGATCTTATTGCCCTGCATCATGTTCTCCATAACTTTATCAACATTGTCTACGACAGCTTCCCTTGCATCAAGCAGCACATTTCCTTTGATATCTTCTCATAGTTAAACCCTGATGCTCTTATCCAGGAGGTCATTGATCTTTTCATTGTAGATTTCAATATAACTGCATCTAACAAGTACCTCTTATCAACCTGGTCTGCCACATGCTGGAATAACTGATTGGATACTAATTGGAAAAGCCCAGGATCTGTTTTATTGCCCAAAATGGTGTGTGTTTTGCCAGAAGATGTTTGGCCATATGCAAATATTTGTGGCATTGAAACCTTCCATGAAGGAATCGACTAAAGGTTTTACTACAGATCCATATACATCTGAATTTGTAAC